AAAGGGAAAAAATAAGAACCAAGATACTCATGTAATGGTACAAGATCCCAATGATGAATGTAACTGTATTTTATACTTAAAATGTACCAATAAACTTAATGGGAAAAAATATTTCAAGAAGTGCAGAATAGCCAAAAAAATATCCAAATGTACAGAAACATCAAGCAATGTAAGAACTGAAGCACTGTTAAAGTCTACAACAAGGTCGCTGCTGCTGATCTTGGTGAGAAAGTTGAAGTAGAGGAGGGAGCCACCTCACTTATTTTAGGAGAAGGAATGAAAAGTAATGAAGGCAGGAAGAATTCCTATAGATAGGATGGCTGTCTGCAATGAACCTGTTCATACCTTCTACTAAGAATGATGAAACTTTTACAAAGAGAGAGAATTAAAATCACCCACACTTCTTACCTACCACATAATAAGGAAATAGAAAAGACACAAAATCCAATTAATGTGTTAGTGGAGAAATAACCACCCAGTAGAGTAGGCTCTGTGTCTCACAATGGAGCTGAGAGTCAGTAAGGGGCTGTCTTAATTACTTTCTTATTGCTCAGACAATGTATCTGACATCCAAGTTAAAGTGTTTATTTTAGCTCACAGTTGGTAGAGGTTTCAGTCCATTCTGTAGTTCATTGGTTCCAAGGCAGGGCAGCATGGCACAGTGGCATGGCCAAAGAGAAAGAGTCCATGGCAAGGGAGGCAGGAGGTAGCAAGCAGCAAGCAGTGAGCCTGCCTTCCTTCTCTCTTCCTATGTTCCATCCAGGCTATAAGCCTATTGATAGTACCACCCACATTCAGGGTGAGGTGTCTCATATTATCCACACCCTTAATCCATATTCACACATCCTAGATCCAGCCACGTCTGCAAAGCCCCACCTATGAGCACACGAGGCTTTGGGGGACATCTAGATACAAGCCATAATAGGGACTCAGCAGAAGGGAAGACAACATAGTGGGGTCTTTGCCCTGGTGGTGAACAATGACATTGATAAGGTCAAGAGAGTGACCTGGTTTGAATGGAAAATCCTAAAAGAAAGGAGAGAATTTGGTGGATTAAAGCATTGGATATTTGAGAGTTAAGAGGAAAGGACTTGAAGTGTATTCAAGAGCAAGCCTTGGAAGAGAGGGAGATATTTTGAAAGTTAGGTTGGGTGGTGAAATCGAAGCAGAAAAGGTATAAAGCTAAAAGTTTTTACTGAATCATCTGAATTTGTCTTTTCTGTTCTTTTTCTCTTTTGGGTTAATTTAATTTAAAAATAATTTCCTCTCCTTTGTTATCTTATTAGCAATATTCTTTATTTTTTAGTAGAAGGTGAAAGATTTATACGATCTGAAGAGAAACCAGAGTATTATTTACATTTTAGTAGTTGCTTTAGAGTTTATAGAATACATCTTTAGCTGATCACCATCAACCTTGAAATGACATTCAGATATACTGTAACAACCTCACAATAACATCCTTTTCTTTCCTTCTGATATTAGTGTAATAGTTTACTTTTACAGATGTTATAAATCTCACACTACATTATTATTTTCACTTTAAATTAGTATTTATGTCATTTAAAGATATTTAAAGAAGAAGATATGCTTCTACATTTACCCAACATGGGTACCATTTTCTTTGCTCTTCATTTATTTATCGAGGTGCTTCCATCTGGTGTCACTCTTTCTGCCTGAAGGAACTCATTTCATGTTCCTTGCAGTAGATCTGCTAGTGATGCATCAGCTCTTGTATGCCTGAGATGCTCTCCTTTTTTAAAGGAATGCCCCTCACTTTTGAAGGAAGAATTTCATTACATTCAGAACTCTAGTTTAACAGGTTTTTTTCTTTCTACCTTGTAAAGATGTTGCTCCACCACCTTGTGACTTGCACTGTTTCTGACAAGGAATCCATGGCTGTCCTTACAGTGTCTTTGTTCTTTGGATGCTTTAACACTTGTCTCTTCATCATTGGTTTTGGGCAGTTGGAATATGATGTGCACTGGTGTGGCTTTGATAATGACTTGAGCTAGGCTTTTAAACATTGTATTCTAATATTTGTGGGTGTACAGTCTTCATCAAATTTGGAAACATTTTACTTATTGTTTCTTCAAATACTTTTTCTGTGTTCTGTTCTTTTAGGATTTGAATTATACATATGTAAGCCACTTAATATTATACCAAGGTACACTGATGACCTTTTAATTTTTGTAATCTTTTTTTCCCCTATAGTTCATATTGGGGAGTTTTTACTGTTATGTCTTCAAGCTCACTAGTTTTTAATGATGTCTAAACCTCTGTGATCTCTAATTCCATGCAGTGTATTTCTCATCTCAGACATTTCCATTTCTAGAATTTTGATTTTTTTCTACATTTTATCATTCATATGTCTATTTAACTTTTTGGATCTATGTAATACATTTATAATATTTTCATGTTTCTTGATCATTGTAATATGTATCATTGTGAATCACTTTTAGTTTTTTGAAAATTCTTCTAATGAGAGGTTATATATTCTTTCTTTGCATATCTGGTGGTTTCTATAATTATTAGATTCCTGACATTGTGAATTTCAGATTTTGGGCTGCTAGAAATTTTTATTTTTCTTTAAATAGTCTTAATGTTTACTCTGTAATGCAGTTAAGTTACAGGGGAACAGTTTGAGATTTGCAGCTGTTTCAGATGTGTTAAAATGGGACCGAAGGAGTGCTTGATCTAAGACTAATTATCTTCAAGAACTGAGACTTTTTTTTTAATTACCTACTCAATGACCCACAAATTATGAGATTTTCAGTGTACCTGGCAAGAAAATACACTATTTCCAGCCCTTTATGTGTACCAAGACTGCTATCTTTAGTACTGTGGGTAGATCTTCCCCAGCATGGGATGATTATCTCACGTAGGTAGTATTTACTTGCGAGAAACCTCCATTTGAGTCTCCCTTCAGGGCAGCCCTTTCCATTTAATCCAACCTTAAACCTTTCATTACCTTTTTATCTCTGGATTTTCAGATTTTCCTTAACTCAAAGAGTGCACCGGGCTCTGCTTGAGCTTCTACTTTCTCTTCAGTACTCCAGGGTCTCAGTACCCTGGGGAATAGGCTTCGAATGATACTAAGACTCACCTTGTTTTGCCCACCTTGTGAGGAACACTGTTCTTTGTTGTTCTGTATCCCATGTCTTGAAATATCATTTCATGTTGGCCAGTAGCTTTTTGTTGTTGTTGTTGCTGTTATTTCAAGCTAGAGGGTAAGTCTGGTCCTTCTTAGTCCACCTTGGACAGAAAGAAAAGTCTATAACTCAATTTCATTCAAAGTGTATTCCTAAGCTTTGTTCATTTAAAGTGCCTAAAAGAATACCTTCCTAGTAACAATATGCTGTGTCATGCCCAGATTTTTGTTTCCACTATAAATTTCCTCTTTTAAAAATTTAAGTGGTTTGCTACAATGGTTTATTCTGGGTTTTGGAAAAAAAATAAGGATATTTTGGGACTTTTTTGGGTGAGGAAATAAGTATTCAATGACTAATAAAGATGTGTCAGATTGAAGGAGGTTTCATAGGCTAAATCTCTGTTGGAGGAGATCATTATAAAAAATTCTATTATGAAAAAATGGAAATGAGGAGTAATACCCAATTTTAAGAAGAAACAATAGCTTTTTTCTAATTGATGATAGAAAACTTTTCTTTTATGGAAAAATGCTTACTAATAAATATGGGAAATGATACAATTGGGGGAAAATTCACCATTTTGCAATTCCATAATGAAATTACTGAGTGTGGTAATGGCTATCAAATGTACTAAAACCTATTAGATGAAATGTTAACTAAGAATGATTATTCAAACAGAGGCAAACAATTAACTTTCTAATTGGAGGATTAGAAAACAAAAAATATTGCAATGGAAAGACTTGGTGTTTAGCTCTTCATCAAGGGCTCAAAAGTGGCATAATTTTATATGCCACCCTAATACAGTATGAAGTGCACAGTACCCCATATAAAGTATTTTATTGAACATATTTAACTTGCAGCTAATTATTCTTTAAACAAAACTTGTAATTTCTAGGATTATAGGAGACAAAAGAAACAAGATAGTTGGGTGTGGTGCCACACACTTGCCACCCCAGCACTTTGGGAGGCTGAGGCAGGAGGATGGCAAGTTTGAGCCCAGCCTGGCCAAATTAGCAAGACCTTGTGTCAAAATGAAAAATAAAAAGTAGGATAAGGATGTAGCTCAGTGTGAAGGTCATGGGTTCAATCTCTATTTCTGCAAAAAAGATGAGAAACGAGACAAGATTGATGACATCCAGATGGAAACAATAAGTCAAGCAAATTGAGACTGTTGGAGTTCTATGGGATGACTGGCTCAGTCTCTTCAAAAATTCAATGTTATTAAAAAAAAATATTGAGACAATTTTCAATTAAGAAACACTAAAAATATGCAACAGCCAAATATACTTTAATTGGAATGTTTTAACAAAAAAAAAGGCTAAGTAAGATACTTTGTAGACAACTGGGAGCTATTTAAATATGTGCTGATATTATGTTATCCTAGGGGTTTATATTTCATTTTCTTTAGGGCAAATGATAATATTGTGATAACACAGGGAAATGACTTAAGAAAGAAGTATAGGAAAAGAAAAGAAAGAAGTGTAGGACTATCTTCATGTTGGAGAAGCTTATTATGTCTGCAACTTACTCTGAAAGGGCAAAATCTTAATAGTTCCACCTAGATCTTCAATATCTGCATTACATTTTACTATTCATTCAACCTTTTATATGCATTTAACATTTTTCATAATACAATGGTGCAGAAAATAACAATTTTACTAAACATTTTGGCACCTAGAAAATTGTCCTAAAGAATTACAATTATGGCAAAAATTTAAATCATTAGAATGTTGATGAAATAACTTAAATGTTCAATATATATATAAATTAGTAGTATTATCAAAAGCAAAACATTGTATTTTTGGCAGATTCATTCTCAGATTTACATAGAACAAGAGAAAGCATAGCCAATTCATTTCAGAAAAAGAAGAAAAGTCTTGTGGTTCAAGATTTTAAAATTATTTTAAAGATAAGTATGATATAGAGACAAAGTGTTTACTGATATAACAAAACAGGATGCTCACAACAGAGTATGTACATATGATATTTTATATATGAGATAAGTAACATGAAAATTTCTGGGGAAAGGAGAAACTAATACATGGAGCAGGGTCAATTGATCATATTATAGGAGAAAAATGAAATTGGAGCCCTCCACTTACACGAATCAATTCCAGAGAGATTAAGAGCCCAAAGTTTGCCAATTGTTATGAGGGAAAGAAAGAGAAATGCCAATAGCTGAAGGAAAATTTTAGGCTGGTAGACTTGTTTTTTACTTTAACAATAGAAGATACTTGAGCTTCAGAAAAGGACCTCGTAGAGAGGGAGACATCAAAAGGAGTTGGAACAGTATCCTTAAGAAAGCACAGAGTACTGAGAAAATATCAAAGTGGCTGACAGGGTATGTGCTAGGTAATTGTTAAATGAAAGATTAACAAATGATACTGTCCTTGGTTTAACTCCTGGGTTGATAGTTTGAAATTGCTTATTGTAGGTATCTTTGTTGCTTGTAATTAGAACCCTTATGTAATGATTGCTTCTCAGAGGTGTCTTCCAGATACAGCTGGTCTTTAAGTTTTGAGTCTCTAATGACTCTAATGCTATCTCATTTTCCTTATACTAGAAAGGTTCATTGACTAGATCAATAACAACACCTTAGCCCAAGTGATACAAGCAGCAACACCATTGCATCAAGTACATCTTTGAAAATGACATTTTGTGGTAGTTAGTAATCTATCACCTTTAGCTGTGTGAATTAAATCAAGATCGAGGACCAACCCAACATATAGTGAATAAACTCTTCAATATAACAATTTTACCCTTTGGGATGGGGAGTTAGAAAGGGTTGGGGAGGGAGGGAGAGATGGAAAGAAGGATAGGGGAAGGTTAGCAGTGAGGCCAGAGGACACGGGGAGAAGGAAAAGGAGAATAATAGGAAAATAAAGAAGAACTCCAAATGAGGACCAAAACAGGGACAAAAAGGGAAGACGAACAATGTGGGAGAACAAGAGAGTGAGTGTAAGAGAGAGAGAAAGGGAAGAGAAAATAAAGAAGAAAAGAAAAGAAAAAAAGGAGAGAAAACCAAATATTTGTAAAGAGTAGGAAAAAAATTAAAGATAAGAAGAGCAAAAGAAAAGAGAAAAAAAAAACACCAAACTAATAATACTAATTTTGGGAATAAAAAAAAAAATGAAGATGAAGGGCCTCTTTCAGGGTATGTCTCTGCTGTCACAATAGACAATGTGGGTAGTAGTGTGCAGATACAAATCAATGAGTCTCAGCAAGCTAGTCACAGACCCATAAGATTCAGGCAGATTTCTAGCTGCAAGTCCCAAGTTGAGCTCCCTGTCCTCCTGTAGGGTTGAACTCTGCAGAGTTGTATTGCAGGTTCCAGTTGCCCTTCCCTTGAAGATAGTCCCGGTCCTGATGGGAGGTGACGATGACTCCAACTTACCCAGTACAGTGGTCTGGTGGTCCTGTGTCCTCTGCATCTTTGTAGTGTGGAACCAGGTGGCTGTACAGAGGAGCGGGGGTGGGGGGTGTCCAGTGGATTGCCGGGGTGCGGGCTAATTGGGCATGTTCCGCCCAACTTGCGACCTTGGAGGCCTGCTGAAAGATTAACAAATGAAAAAGAAAGGATTAGCTTAGGTGGAATATGAAGAAATTGGTTCACAAAGGAGGTGTTCACTCCCTGTCCCTGTCCCCCCAACCCCACCCTTTCATTGACAGGTGTGAGAGTGAAGTTAATAAGTGTACCAAGTGTACCATTGGTAAGTGTGCTTGTCTTTCTGACTTTTGCCTTCAGGCTCGAGAAACAGGTGGTAAACCAAAGGGGCAGAAACCTGTGGCTAAACATCAAACATGAACTCCTCAAACTCAAAGAGTGTGGGGATTTGACCATAGCTATAAGAAAATATGTACTGGAAAGAAAGTTGTTTAAGAGAGAATTCCCGAATGAAGATCATTCTCTTCTTTAATTGTTGTTGATACAATTGTTTTTCTAAATCTTGAAGCTTGGGAATCTTATGAGGTAAACAATGTCATAGGCGGCAACAGCCAGCTGCAGAGGAGCCTAATTCTTCCAAAGCAAAACTGTGTGCATTCACATTCCGTGTAGCCTACTGTGAAACCTTGTTTAGGTTGCTTGGTTTCTGAAGCTTTGGCTTCTACTTCAATAATGTGAGGATTCTATTAGTTCAGTTAGTTCAGATTCTTTGGATGCAAGTAATAGAAACTGATTCTGGATCATTTGGGAACAAGAACTCATAGGGAGAGGATGGCACAGTCCATGAATCAGAGGGAAAGTCACAGATCTGGGCTCAGGAAGAGCAGAAACTAGGGTAGGCCGAGAAATTCAAGAAGCAGGGAAGGATAGCATTCTGACCTCTGGATGTATAATTTTCAGAAGTTTTCACCTTTTATTAATGTACTCAAGATTCAAGTTCCAGAAAGTTTATTAATCAACCTAATATGAATTCTTTACATCTTCATCCATCAAGCTGGGACTGAGTACTGTTAGGAGCAGGATGTAGGGTAGTTGCTACATGAAAACACATCAAATGTACATATGCTCCATGCCTATGGCTATCGTATCCATACACTTATTTCTATACTTAAACCTTCAATAATGCTTTGGCCTAACATAATATTCCAGAAACACACCTTCATCTTCTCTCCAAAGATGACTGACCCCAAACTGTGTCCATTTCCAAGGTTAGAATTTCTGAGAAATGTATTTATTCTTTAACTCTATTGTCAACTTGACTCAGGAGTATGCTGTCTATGGGTCACACAAAACCTCACAACAACAACAAAAAATTCACGGTTTTCTGTTATTGAGCAATGCGTTCACATGAGTTGTAATCTTCTTATATCTCAGAGGACCCCAATGGATAGATATGGAAAATGAGCTCTGCAAGGGTCTGATTCCAGGCTTGTCCACTCCAAAGCTACCTGCTTTTTTTTTTTTTTTACTGACTGGAGGATTAGAACAATATAAAATAAATGGTCTTGTCCAAGAACTTTTAAGAAATCAAAGATTTAAGGCATGAAAATAGAGGCACCAGGAGAGTTTTATGTCATGGAAAGCTGAGATGAAAGGTTTGTGGTTGTAGGGATATGGATAGAGGATGAGAGATATACTTATTTAATAGAGAGAGGAGGATGAGCAGGATTTACCTATTTTAAAGAGTTTTTCCAGAATTTAACACCTTATACTCATTCACAATTATTCTTTCAACCATCTTTATCCCAATAGATAGTTGTTTAGTTTGTTTTATTAGTAAAGGTTTTGATTAGGCTGCATGATTACCCAATTCCTCATTTTATTTTAAACTTTGCTACCTATAAAGTAAAAGTCCCATTCAATAGAGGTAGAATGTATTGAAATGTACTCTTTCAAGAAAAAAGTTAGATTTTTACTTTATATCAAAAGGCAAAACAAATTCTAAATTCATTAAAAAGTTAATGTATTTTAAAAGTCAGAACCATTAAAAAAACTTGGAAGGAAATACAGGAAAAATATGAGAATAGGGGAAGTTGTTTAGAGCCTAGAAGCAATGAAATGCCTCTGAGGGTTAGGACATAAGAAGTCCCACGTGTTGCTCAGGCCTTTGTGATCTGAGTGGGTAGCAATAGAAGTATTCAGGGCCTGGTGCTGAATGTACTCTCCAAAATACTGAATTCTCTTTAAAATCTTCTGAGAACGTGCTCCTTACCACTACTTCTTTCTACCCAGCAAAGAACAGTGCCAGACTTTCTATTCTGCTAAGATTTATTCCCAATTTAAAACTTGGAAACAGCACACAGGCATAATTATTTTGGTCAATCAAGGAGAAAGCTTACTCGGTTTCAAAACAAGTCATGCAAGGAAAGATTTAAGGAATTTTATTTTAGCCTGAAGATGTGAAATTTAAACTTCCACTAAAGGATACTTGGAGAAAATGTTTAGAGAAAGTCATGGTGTTGGATAAACTCTTTCTGAGTGACTTGCTCTGACGTCAGGGATGCGGTAGGGGTTAAGGAGAGCCTCGCTTTTGGCACATTATAGGTTCTCACAGTCTCAAATAACAAGCTGGTCACAGTCAGATTTTATTTTCCTTGAAGTGTTTAGATTGCATTCCATAGTTGGCTTGGTAGCTATTTTTCAACTTACACTTTAAAAATATATCTGTGGGTAAGCGCAAGCGGCCACAGGGAACGTTATTTCTTTGTTTTTAGGTTTTTGGTCAGAATACTTGGAACAAGATGAATTCCAAGAGAAACAAATTAGGATCTAAGCTAATGACTATAGTCACTGCGACAGAATTCAAATCCTTATATGTCATCTCTGACTATAATTTTTAAATAAGTGATCATATGGTGTCACACAGTGTGAGAGCTTCTGCCAAGCAAAGCAAAACTAAGGAAGAATGTCACAGTGAGGCATTTGGATGATCTTTAGCAATAAAGGGTGAACTTTAAGCAGAAAAGTCATAGTTAGTAGAATCCAAATAATACCAGTAAATCAATATATTCTGTCACATGCCTGACCCATTCATCTTCAAGTAAAATGAATTTCAACTTATTTATGGACATAGCCTGAAATTGGAATAAAAAACTAAAATATAATGTACCAACTACATTACTGAGGGAAGAGCTTCAGAAAAATCTCAAAGCTACATACACAAATAGATAACCTCACTGAAAAAATGAACACAGCAGAATTGAAAAAAATGGTAGATGGTTATATTAGAAATTTATTTTCTAACGCAAAAGAGTTTAACTGATTTCCCATTCATCCTATTATGCAGGAAGAAATTTGGATTACAGAAATCATTTATGGATTACATTAGATGAAAAATTTAGTCAACATTTCATATATCAAAAGAGCACTTATAAATACTAGGAAAGGAATAGAAACCTTAATGAGGTACTGTATCAACATGTTTAAACACTGGGATTGGGGTCCCTCAGGATACTGAAAAATATATAGCAAAACAAGAATGACTTGAATAATGAGAGATTCAACTCTGCCTCATTAAGCCATAATTCAGGAAGGATGTGAATAATTATGCACAAATGTTTTAAAGTTTTGAATGTCTGAAGGAGAAAGATTGTGTTCTTTTATAGCAATACATTCAAGCTAATTATTAGGTTAAACTTTCTGACAGCATTATTCTTTTATGTGGGAACAAACTTCTCCTGGAGTGGAAACATGGGCAAAGTTAAGCCACACATCAGCTAAGTGAAACTTGAGCCATGATAGGATAGACATACAGTGTGGAACACAACATCTAACTACAAATATGTGACTGTTATGGTTTAGATCTAAAATGGCTCCCCAAAATCTCAAGTGTTCAGATGCGGAGCTTTTGGAAGGTGATCATGAGGACCTTAACTTTGTTGGTGGATTAATCCCTTAATGAAATCATGATTTGAAGGTAATAGAAATTTAGGAGGTGGGGTCTAGGTGAAAGTAGTAGGTCATGGAGGCAGACCTTGGGACTACATCTGGTCCCTGATGCCTTTCTTTCTGGCCTTTTCTCTTTCACTTTACTTCCTGGTTTCCATGTGGTGAGCTTTGTCTGCTATGCCTTTCTGCCATGATGTTTCTACCTCTCCACAGATTTAAGGCAATGGACCCAGCAACTACGGACTGAAATCTCTCAAACTGTGAGATCAAATAAATCTTTCCTCCTCCACATTGTTTTTCTCAGGTATTTGATCACAGTGATGAAAACTAACGCAGTGACTATAAAACCTGAGTTTATTGTTAGGCTGATTTTCCTATGAGCCACTGAGGTTATTAAGCTTAGGAGAAAGGAAAGTAATTGCACCATGTCTTCTGTACCTGAGGCCACAGGAGGGAGTGGGATCTTCCCTGACTCATTGTGGGAAAGTCCTCAACAGAGGCACGAGCCAGCAGTGAATGTGGGTTAATGTCGAAGGGATCCATAGGCAAGAATAGTTTTTTTTAAGGGCTAAGGCTTTGGGCTGTTTTGTGCTTTGGTGGCCACTTCATTTGGTACCTGCATCTTTGAATTTCATGGGGCTAATGATTGTCTTTTGTTAGTACCTTATTTTTAGATTTGTTGGGCAGTACTTCTAAGTAGTAGTAGATAGAATTCTGAGTGTTTCTGGACCTTATTTGTCCCTAGCGGTAATAAAAAGGCGTCCAATCACAGTCTTTAGAGTAACTCAGATTTTGCATCTGCTCATATATTTTAGCATATTTTATTTCTTTTTATTATTTATGTACAAGAATCTTAGGTATTGCTTAACTTAGTATGATATTATTCTTACCTTTTCTTGGCATCTTTAAGAGGATAGTTTGTTCATTCCTTTTCTATACTGTTCAAGCCCTACTATAAAGGATCTCTATAACAATCTCATATGATTTCTTATAATATTCCCCTTATCTAACAGCTTTAAGCATGGTAATCAGATAAAAAATAGCCTAGGTTTACAACAATATCCAGAGTAAGATCCATCTATACAAAGAGTAACAAGCATATTAAGAATGTAGGCAAATAGGTGACATGTAGTCTTGTATGAAGAGAAATATACTAGTAATGTGCAGATGAGTAAATGACTATTAAATTATCTATGTACATTTAAATCAACAAATA